TTAACAGGTTATTATGAACAAATCAAAACACACAAGCACTTTCGGCCAAGCTATATACATCAAAAACGATATAGCATATAGAAATATCAAAATTCAAGCCCCGAAAACATACCAGTATAGGGGTGGAGATTCACTCTGATAAAGATATATATGCCATTTTCAATATATACATTAGTCCATCCTTAACGTTAAATCAATCAGATCTAGATTATGTTACGTTCATCCTTCAAAATTATAGACATCACATCATTTCAGGCGATTTTAATGCCCATAACTCTCTATGGGGTAGTAACCATGACTGTGAAAGGGGGCAATTATTAGAGGATTGGATAAATGACCAAGATCTCATAGTATTAAACAACCCAGATCAAGGTACCCGGATCAATGAAAAGAACGGGAAAACCTAGTGCTAGATTTAACCCTATCATCTCCAGAGCTAGCAACCAAATTAGATTCATGGGTTGTGGGTAATAGTACATTAGGTTCAGATCATTACCCTATTCAAATCTTCATGTAACCAATTAAATAAAGATGAAATAATCGACCTAGACATCGATAAATACAATGAAAAATTGACATCTAGGTTAGTTAAAATAGCACATAAAACAATACCTCGAACTTCGGGCAAAGTTAAGGAGAGAAAACATAATCCCTGGTGGAATTCGGAATGTGATACGGCCAAAAGAATCAGAAGAAAATGGGAACGCATATGCAAAAAAGATCCCTCTGAAATTAATCTCAGAATTTTTAATACAGTTAAAAACAAATTAAAAAAAACCTGCCAAAAACATAAAGAAGCACATTGGACTAAATTCTGTGACTCCCTTAATGATAGATCTAATGCTAAGGAAGTCTGGAATAAAATTAAAGCAATTCAGGGCATACCGGCTAAAGAAATCCCGATCCTAGGGAAAAATGGAGAAGGAAAAACAAATAAAGAAAAAGCAGAAATTCTCGTAAATCAATTTCAAAGTGTTAGTAGTAACAACAACTGCACTAAGGAATTCCTAAAAAATAAAGAAGTTAAGCTACAACAACTAGATAGCAAAATCAAGGATCCAGGTAATAACGATATACCTATAAATGTCCCATTTACGGTAAACGAGTATCTCAAAGCTTTAAAAATGAAGAAAAACACATCACCAGGTATAGATAATCTTTCATATTCAATCCTTAAACAATGCCCAGATAAAATTAACAATATAATTTTAGATTTGATAAACATGATTTGGTCAAAAGGCATTTACCCTAAAGAATGGAATGCGGCTGTAATTATTCCCATTTTAAAATTAGGCAAAGATAAAGAAGAACCAGTTTCCTATAGACCAATATCTCTCACATCCCATCTTTGTAAAACTATGGAAACTATGGTGAACAATAGATTAAAACATTTCTTAGAACAGAATAATATAATAGACGACACCCAGAGCGGATTCCGGAATCATCGCTCTACCCTAGACCCTTTAATTAGAATATCCTCGGAAATTAAAACCTCACTAAGTAAAAGACAACATACACTAGCGGTATTCTTAGATTTAGAAAAAGCATACGATTTAATTTGGCACGAAGGGTTACTAGAAACCATTAAAGATACAGGGCTAACAGGCAATATCTATAAATTTATATATAATTTCTTAAAAGATAGAAAAATCAAAGTTAGAATAAATGAAACACTATCAGAAGAGCGCACATTAGATAACGGGGTCCCCCAGGGGAGCGTAATTTCCCCGACACTATTTAATATATTAACAAATTACATGAACATGTCCGCCTTAAAACCAAAAAATATAAGGAGGCAGCTAAGGCTCAATTTGCAGACGACACCAGCATTTGGGCATCAGGTAACAACATAACGAACTGTAAAAACATTATCCAGAGAACATTAGACGCCATTCATGATTGGGCCAATCAGTACGGGTTTAAAATTTCAAAAGAGAAAACAGTAGCAATGTTATTTTCTAGAAGAAACAGGTTTCCCAAATTAACTCTAGGTGGTTCTGATATAAATTTCGTTAACCAAACCAAATACTTAGGTATGATATTTGACAGAACGCTCTCATGGATACCTCATATAAATTATATTATAAAAAGACGTAAAAAGTAATTAACGCCATGTCCATCGTAAAAGGTAATAAAATTGGAGCCAATAAAATCACATTAATTACCATGTATAAAGCGCTGATAAGATCGAAGATTGATTATGGTTGTCAAGTATACAATTCGGCCTCACATAATGCACTTAAGGCACTAGATAGAATACAATTAAAAGCACTCAAAATAGCAATAAGTGCTCTTAAACATACTCCCTCAATAAGCGTACTGGCAGAAAGCGGAGAGCTCCCCCTACAATTAAGACGAGACAATTTGATCCTAAAATATTGGGCTCGCACTAAATGTTTAGGTCCAGATTCACCAATCAACCTTATGACAGAGGAAAGTACAGATGAAATTTATCGCGATAAAATTACTCAACACTCCAAACCACCATTTAACTATAACATTCATGATTTATTAAAAGAACACAAATTACAACACATCGAAATTGAAACATTAAACACTAATCATATACCCCCCTGGTTACTACCGCAACCCAAAATTGACCTAGAAATTCTGGAAAAAACGAATAAAAAAGAAAACCCTGTAGGAGCTAAAAATATCGCATTGTCAATTATAGACTCAAAATACGCTGCCTTCCAAAAAATATACACGGACGGCTCTAAAAACTCAAACACAAACAGGGTAGGCCTAGATATTTACTGCCCGGATAACAAAACGGAAATCGCCCTTAGAATTCTTAGAAAAACATAGGAGGGCTACCCTTCACCACCTATATATCCGTCAAACCATACAACACATCAAACCCACACGCACACACACATGTGCGACCAACTAAAACCAAACCAAGTAGAGGAGTCATATATAATATTCCACAACACGTCAACCCAAATATTTTCATCAGTAAAACCATTCTAAAAGCAACCAGAATGATCAACAGACAAGGCCAACTCACAAAGTCGGTCATCTTACTTTTCAACGCACCCACACCCCCACCATACATCTCAAATGGTACACGATTCCCAAAAGTCACACCATTCATCACGAAAAACCAAACCACAAACAACCACAAACTTACAAATAAAACATACGCTAAAGCGACATCATCCACATCAACAACAACAACCAAAACTTTCAACACCGATTTCAAACTAAGCAATGGAGAAACACAAAACATACACATAAAACAAGCACCACCACGCACAGGAAACGAACCCATCACTAAGCAACGATCTATAAACACAATAGGGTCACTTTTCATGGCCCTATCAAATCTCGATCAAAACCCCACTAAACTGTTCAACACATTCAATAACACCCTCATATCTGAACTCGGGATAGGTCTTGATATAACAGTAGATGAAGAGACCAACAAAACAATGGAAATGACCCCTACAAAAACACCCACAGTCACACCTACACAAATTACACCCACATACAAAAGACCCACTACAGAAGATATGACACCTGACACCGACACAAAGGAAAAACAAGCCATAACCACACACCCCACATCGCCAGCGACGCTCAAAATTACTCCCACACAAACACACCTAATAACAACGCCACAAAAAACACACGCCGTCGAATCAGTCACACCCCCCAAAACACCTCACACAACCATTAAATCACCATCCATAGCATCTACACAATCCACACCAAAATCTCCTACCAACATACCACTCTCACCTCAAAACACAATTAGGAAAAATGGAAAAACATGACAGGAAACAAAACACCCAATCAGAATGTCAACCAGATCAAAAAGACAACTTAATTACAAATATTAAACCAACCAATCGTCCCCCATCCCACCAAAACATAGCAAACCATAACAATGACAGAACAGACAAATAAAAAACCCACGGCCGCCCTATCTGTCCTCAGTTGGAACGCCCGCGGACTACGCAGTAACATACACAATTTAAAACACCTGCTATCCGACAACCCCAACATCGACATTATTCATATCCAAGAAACAAAAATCAAACCTTCCAGAAACCACCCTAAGATAGCAGGATACTATGAACCTCTAATAAAAAACACCAAAACAACAGGACTAGCAACTTACATAAAAAACAACATAGCATACAAGCAAATAAAAACTCCAGATATATCAGACAACATTGAACTCATGGGCGCTGAAATACATAGCAACAACAAAATTGTTGCCTTTTTTTAACATATATATAGGCCCTGGCTTCACAATAGAAAAACACCATCTTGAAGCCCTCTCGGACGCCATCACGAAATATAGTAACTACGTAATATCCGGAGATTTCAAGTCATAATATAATATGGGTAGCAAAAGTACAAATAAAAGAGGTGACTCAATATTAGATTGGATTAACGAAAATGATATGATCATACTAAATGATCCAGATTCGGCCACACGGATAGACCCAGCTACGGGTAACAAATCTCACATAGATCTCACTTTAGCGTCACCGGAAATTGCTACCACTTACTCCTCCTGGTTCACAAACGACAGCGCCCTAGGGTCAGATCACTTCCCAATACACACCACATTTACATTCAAACCCATCAGAAACACCATCAGCCTTCCACAAAAATGGTTATTTCATAAAGCTGATTTGACATCCTTCAAGAAACAATGCTCAAAAATAACACACAAATCAATACAAGACAGAAACATAGACACATATACAAAAAACCTCACAGACACACTAGTCAAAACAGCAAAACAATATATACCAATATCCTCAGGGAAACCCCAAAACCGAAAACATAACCCCTGGTGGAACGATACATGTACAACACACAAAAAAATCAAATGCAGGTGGGAGGATATCGTTAAGAAGAATCCCACCAAACAAAACATCTCAAACTACAAAACAGCAAGAAACAAATACAACAAAATATGCAAACAATACAAAGACAAACACTGGCAGGAATTCTGCAACTCTTTGAACACGAACACCAATAATAAAGATATCTGGGCTAAAATTAGATCAATTAAAGGGAACCCCCCAACGTCATGCCCATATTAGGTAAACAAGCAGAGGGTAAGACAAACGCTGACAAAGCTAAGCGATTTTTAAAAAGCTAGCAGCAATAGCAATTGTACAGAATCGTTTCTATATAACAAAGAAAGGAATTCCCCGAAGATCATTGCTGCCATCTCCAACACGGGTCCCAAGGTAGTGTACTATCCCCCACCCTCTTTAACATCTATATAAATAAACTAGATAGGAAACTAGAAGAGGCTAGGCTACAAACTAGAATAGTTTGGGTTCTCTTTGGCGCCTTGAGAATAAGATGGCTACTGTTTTTGTTTGGGAAATTTTGAAGCCCTATTCATCAGCCCATTCTTGTATTATGTTTAATGTTCGTTGTGCTATGGTGCATGTATTTTGTATGGTGTTGTCTGAGTGCCAAACACTGGTGTCGTCTGCAAATTGACCTACAGAGCCTATCTTTTTTGATAGCCTAGCCTCTTCTAATTTCCGATCTAGCTTATTGATATAGATGTTAAATAAGGTGGGGGATCTAAAAATGTTACCTGTGATACCTATATCTTTAAGAGATAGCAATAGACCCTCGTGCCAAATCAGGTCGTATGCTTTTTCTAGATCTAGAAAAACGGCCAGAGTATGCCTAATCTTACTAAGAGCGTTTTTTTATGTCAGAGGATATTCTAATTAGGGAATCGAGAGTTGACCTACGAATCCGAAAGCCATTCTGGTTTTCACTAATTAGATTATTGCTAGATAAGTAGTGTTTCAGTCTATCATTTATCTTAGTTTCTAGTGTTTTACATAAATGAGAGGTAAGAGCTATAAGGTCTGTAGGAGGCCGGGTCTTCTTTATCCTTACCAGGTTTAAGTATTGGGATAATTTCTGTTTTATTCCAAAAAGTGGGGTATGAGCCAGATTGCCAAATATGGTCTATATAGCTCACAATAATATTATCTATGTTTTGCGGGCAATTTTGTAATATAGCATAGGATAGTTTGTCTATACCTGGCGATGTACTTTTCTTTTGTTTCAGAGCCCTACGATATTCACCTACTGAAAAGGGGGTGTTTAATTCAGAGGTGTTGGGACCCGGGTCGGAGATTGCAGTAATAATGTCCGGGGATTTTTCTATGTTTTTTTTAAAGAATGCGTTTGTGCAATTATTATTACTGCTTGCTGTTTTTAACTGGTTGGCCAAAATATTTGCCTTTTCGGCGTTAGTCCTGCCCTCTGCTTTTTTGCCTAATATGGGCATGACGCTGGGGGTGGGGGGTGTTTCCTTTTATAGCACTAATTTTATTCGAAATAACTTTGTTATTGGTGTTGTTATTTAGTGAATTGCTGTTCTATCACTACTATTTATGAACTATATTGTTGTTCAGGTGATGTGTGTTTTTTTTTGTAGTATGTAAGTTCCCTGGCAGCTATTGTTGTATTTCTCATTTCGTAATTGCGAGTAGTCCCCCCTTTAACGTGTTTGTTGTTCTTCCCTGGTTTCTTCTTTTGTGTATTTTTACGGTCGTGAGGGATTATGACTGGGGATTTTGGGTGGTTTTTCTGGTTGAGTCGGGGGATTGTATGTTTCTTTTGTAGGTGTCGTTTCCGGTGAGTTTATCGGGGTTGTGTGTATGCTTGATATCGGGGAGGGGACGGGGGAGATCTGGGATCTTCTTCCGTTGTCTTATTTGTTTTGGGTTCTTTTTCCTGTGTTTTGGTCTCTACCGTGACTTTAAGGTTTATTCCTAGTTCTTGTACCAGTGCTTGATTAAATGTGTCGTATAGTTCCTTAGGGTTTTCATTCAGATTAGAGAGGGAAACAAAAAGTGCGCCTAGCGTGTTGACTAGCTGTTGTTTTGTTACTACTTGATTTCCTACGGAAGGGGGGGGGCTTGTACTATATTGTATTTTATTGGTGATCCATTGGTTGATATGAAGGTTGATGAAAATTGTTTGGTGATGTTATTGGTGTTTACTGCCTCTGCGTACGTTTTGTTTTTATTACGTTTGTTGTTGCTGTTGTTGGCATTTTTATTTTGATTATTGTTTCTGAAGGGGGTAATGTTGAATATTTGGTTCCCGTACCTGAGGGTTTTTGGTTGTATAAGGCAGGGGAATACCAGTAGGATAGAGGTGGTAAGATTACCCTTAGATTTAATCATTCTGGTGGCTTTTGTAACGTAGGGGCTTAGAAAAAAAATTGGGTTGACATGCATTGGGACATTGTATATGACACCGCGGCTACTGGCTTTATTAGGTTTGGTTGTGTTGTGTTTGTTTCCTGTTTTTTGGTTTTGTTGTTTTTGTCCTGATAGTCTATTTGATCTGTAAGCTTTAAAGGGGAGATTCTTGATTCTGTTTATCTGCAGGGCCCCCCGGATTTGCATAGCTGTAAGTCAAAGAATTAAGATGAATCCTGAGGGGAGGAATTCTATCGGGGCGATTACCCCTGGCATGCCCTGGATTTCTGCTACTGCTTCCTATTTATTTATTTTTTGATAGGGATACCTGTTTTTTCCTGTAGGTTTTAGAACTGTGACGCTGTTATTACCCAGGGAATTAGCTAGTGATGATGTTGGGCTAACGTGGTCACGTAGTACTAGATTCTGCAACAAACTTAAAACGACGAAGAGAATTCTTAAGTGTCCAAATCGGTCTTTATTCGATGGCGTCTTGTTCGAAAGTAACAACATATGATAATACATCGTGCAATATTAAAACACAATTAAAATTTAGACATTAACCAAAATATTATACAATTTGTCTTTAGCCAAAATTAACATGAGAATTATGAAATTACATACGACTTACTTTACAAGAACATTCTTTGAATTAACTATATAAAAATACATAACGACTAAAATATTTCCATGCCAAAACATTTTTATGATAACTACGGTAATGGTGAACCACATACACGAAAAATCACTTAATAAACAGAGTTTCAATATACATGTTCTCCAGTCATGATCAACAAAATATCTGTATAAATCGCAACACAAAATATATATATAATCTGTGATTCATGAAAAGAAATACTCCCTGATAACAATGATTTCAGTCCTTTTCTCCTAAATCTAGCAGCCAAAACTTTCTCCCGGATATGGAGATGAAGTGTGTAATTACACTTAGAGAGGCGGATAGATACGTTTTCCGGAAAGTACAATTATTAATGTGAAATACAAAACTGGCCGAAACTATCCGGAATGAAAATGATCTAGGACAATTCATATAATTGAAACTAAAATGAAAATGTGAATTAACGTGAATCGCTACTTATTAGTTAGAAAAAGTATACAGTCGAACTTCGTTAACTCGAACTCGGAAAACTCGAAGACCCCGTTTAACTCGAAGCACTTTGTCGGTCCCGGCAAAATCTCAAAACGACGAAGAGAATTCTTAAGTGTCCAAATCGGTCTTTATTCGATGGCGTCTTGTTCTGAAAGTAACAACATATGATAATACATCGTGCAATATTAAAATACAATTAAAATTTAGACATTGACCAAAATATTATACAATTTGTCTTTAGCCAAAATTAACATGAGAATTATAAAATTACATACAATTTACTTTACAAGAACATTCTTTGAAGTAACTATATAAAAATACATAACTACTATAATATTTCCATGCCAAAACATTTTTATGATAACTACGGTAATGGTGAACCACATGTACGAAAAATCACTTAATAAACAGAGTTTCAATATACATGTTCTCCAGTCATGATCAACAAAATATCTAT